CAGCAAGCGTGACTTGGCCTCTCCAGCCATGGAGCCCTTTTAATAGTGCTGCTTCCAGCTCAGCCCCGGGGTCGCCATCTTCCAGACAGACCCTGGCCTGGGCACGATGTCTGAAGACAAGAGCTGTGGCGGCCACTTCCAGAACCATTGCTCTGCGCCTGTCAGCTTCAGCTGAAGGCATACTCTCCCACCCGCTGTCGCTTTCCAGGGAGGCGGCGTGAGGCAGACACTCAGCCCGTGCCTGGTGGGCGCGTAGTGAGCACCATGGCCATGTGGGGGTCCCCCTCGTAGTGGGCAGCAGGGACCCAGCGAGACTGCCGCTGGCTGGGCTGCAAAGGAAAGAGACAGGGAGGGCCACAGTGAGGGGAGCGGGTTCTAGGGCGGGAGCACGAGCCTCGGAGAACTTGTGGATCTTTAAACCAAAATAGCATGAAATAATTTTCCAAAGATTGCCTTCCTTTTCTACTTCCATTTTTCAGATTATAATAATCTAAATCCATACAGGACTACTACTTAGAATGCACTTAATCCTTTATTGTCATTGTTGCTGTTATGTGCCGTTGCTTGTTGTTAGGTGTCATCAAATCACCTACAACTCATAGTGACCCTGTGAACAGCAGATCTGATGTTTGAAGAGGACCTGGCTCTAGAGACATTACCTCCAATGTCAGATAGATCTTGGCAGAAAGCAGAGAATACCAGAGGAGAGTCTATCTGTGTTTAATTTGCTATGCAAAGGCATTTGACAGTGTGGATCACATGTGGCTAACCTTGAGGAGAATGGGAATCCAAGAACACTTGTGCTCATGTGAAACTACACTTAGGCCAGGAAGCAGTCCTCAGAGCAAGGAAACACTGCATGATTCAAAATCAGGAAAGGAGTGTGTCAGAGATGCATCCTGTCTCTATACCTTTTCAATCTATATGCAAAACGAATTATTCAGGAGGCTGGGCTTTATGAGGAGGAATGTGGCATCAGGATTGGAGGAAGATTTAACAACCTGCATTATGCAGATGATACAGCCTTTCTTACTGAAACTTAAGAGGGCCTGGAGAGTTTGCTGCAGAAGGTTGAGGACATTAGTCTTCAATATGGATTGAAGCTCAACATCAAGAAGACAAAGATTCTTACCACTGGGCCAATTGGCAGCACCATGATAGATGGAGAAGAGATTGAGGCTGTTAGTTTTAGGTTGTTCAGCTCCACAATCAAAACTCTTGGTACCAGCAGTAAGGAAATCAAACAATGAATTGTATTGGGAAAACCCACTGTCGGGGACCTCTTCACAGTACAGAAGAGCAATGATGTCAGTCTGGAGATTGAGATGCACCTGATCCAGGCTACGGTCTTCCCAATTGCTTGCTATGCATCTAACTAAGGATGACTGAGGAAGGGTCTATGCTTTTGAGCTGTGATTCTGGAGAAGAGTGTTGAATATACCATAGACTGCCAAGACAACAAAAAAGGTATGTCCTGGAGAGGGTGAAAGCGGGCTGCTCTCTTGAGGCAAGGATTTTGAGACTCCATCTAACATACTTTGGGCAGGTATCCAGGAGGGACCAGTCCGTGGAGAGGGACATTATACTTACAAGGGTTGAGGAGACGAAGACCCAGGATGAGATGGATTGACCCAGTGACTCGAGAAATGGGACTAGGTCTGTCAAAGAAGATGAGATTGGCTCAGGATAGAGCAGGTTTTAGAGCTAATGTACATAGGGTCACTATGAATCACAGGCAACTAGATGTACCTTAACAACAACAAAATACCATCCTCACTGATATGCTCAAGTCCATTGTAAAAATCTCTTTGGCAATTCATATTATTGGACATTTTCTCTTTCGCTGACTCTCCACCTTTCCCAACATGATGCCTTTACCTAAGGATTGGCCCCTCCTAATAACATGGCCAAAGTATGTGAGATGAAATTTCACCATCCTTGACTCTAAGGAGCACCCTTGCTGCACCTCCTCCAAGACAGATTTATTTATTCTGGTGGCATTCCATGTGATATTCAATACTCTTCTCCAATACCACAACTTAAAGACATCAACAATTCTTCTTTAATTCATATTCATTGTCCAGCTTTAAGATACATAGGAAGTAATTGAAAATACCATGGCTTGCATTAGGTGCACTTCAATCTTTAAACTGACATCCTTCCTCTTTAGCACTTTGTAGAGCTCCTTGACAGCAGATTTTTCCCAGTGTAACATCTTTTGATTTCTTGTCTGCTGTTCCCTTGGGTATTGAATTTGTCCATTCCTCTGTTTTCAAATTTATCAGGATACAGCTTTTCATAATATTCTGATATTGTAGATTTAGTTTCCTCTGGTCCTGTTGTGATGTCACCTCACCTCTATCACTCTTTAATCAAGTTATTTGTGACTTCTCTTGTTTTTCTTTTGTTAAGTTTGCCAATGGTTTGTCAATTTTATTGACCCTTTTGAAAACCCAGCTCCTGGTTTTGTTGATGGTTTCAATTCTTTTTCTGTTCTCTATCGTGTTGATTTCAGTTCTTATTCTCATAATTTCATTTCTTCTAAAGACTGCGGGGTTAGATTATTGTTCTTTTTTTATTTGATGAAGGTGTTGTCTTAGATAATGTATTTTTTCCCCTTTCTTAATTTTTTATGTGTTTGCTTATTGCTATGAACTGCCCCCCGAGGAGTGCCTTAGTAGTCCCAGATGTTTTGGCACATTGTATTTTCATTATTGTTTTGAGGAACTTTTTATATCATTCTGTATTTCTTCTATAACTGAATTGTGTTCTAGAAGGGTATAATTTAACTTGCACGTGGGTGGTTTTATAAGCTTTATCCTCTTTAATTTCTATTTATATAGCATTGTGGTCTGAGATGATACTTTGTATTATTTCAGTGTTTTTTAATTTGTTGAAGCTTGCTTTGGGCCCTAATATGTGATCAGTTCTGGAGAATGTACTACCATGTGCACTTGAGAAGAAAGCTAATTGAGTTTTTGTTGATTACAGTACCTGTAATACATACACAAGGTTGAGTTGGCTGATTGTGTAGTTTAGATCTTCTGTATTTCAAGTTTCTTTTGAGTTCCCCTGTCCTTTATTGAGAGTCTCTTTCCATATTGTTGTGCTGTCACTTTCTTTTAACTGTTGCTTTATGCATACTGCAGGTCTGTAATGTGGGCTTTTAATCGTTATTTAGTGCTTTTCTTTTGTGGTGGTATTCATCTTGAAGTCTGTTTTATCAAAGATTAGTATTACCACTCATGCTTTTGTGTAGATGCCATTTGCTTGGTATATTTTTTCATAGCCTTTAATGTTTAGTCTGTCTTTCTCCTCATTTCTTAGGTGTATTGCTTACAGAAAACATATTGATGAGCTTTGTTTTTTACCCATTCTGCTACTATTTTTCTCTTGATTGATGCATTTAGTCCATTCATATTGAGTGTGATTATTAACAGGCCAGGTTTATCATTGCCATTTTGTCATGTTTCTTCTTCTGTTGTTTCTGATTTCTAATGGTCCATCCACTTTTCTTTGGTGTCTCTGTGTAAAGGACTTCCTTAAAAGTTCTTGTAGATTTGGTCTTGTTTTCACAAATTTCTCAAGTTCCTTCTTTTCTGCAAAAGATCTTGTTTCTTTTCATATCTGATTGACAGCTTTGCTGGGTACAGGATCCTTAGATGGAAATTATTTCTTTCTACTTTCTGTATATATTAGCCCATTGTCTTCTTATTTGCATGGCTTCTGCTGAGAAATCAGAACTTAATCTTGCTGCTTTTCTTTTGTAGGTGATTCCTTTCTTGCACTACTTTTAGTATTCTATCCCTATCTTGTAGTTTGGATAATTTATCTATGATACATCTTGATGGGTTTTACAGGGAATATAATCTATTTGGTGTTCGCTGAGTTTCTTGAATGTGGATTTCCTTCTTCATAATACCTGGGCATTTTCTTTCAGTAACTCTTCCACAATTTTCTCAGGGATTTTTCTGACCCTCTCATATTCTGGAATTCCATCTATACACATGTTGTTCCTTTTGTTATCATCCCACATGATTCTAGTATTTTCTTCATTTTCTTTATGTTTCATCTCTGATTTATCTTCTAGTATGTTTCCTTCAAGGTTCTTTGTCTTCCACTTCACAGATTCTCTGCTCCATATCTTCTGTTGTGCTTTTTTTGTCCGTCCAGAATGTTAGACACTTCTGCCATTTTGGTCTAAATATCCTTAACACGTTGCCGCACACTTTTAAAATTGACAACAGTGCTTAGAAACATATTTGCCGTCATTTGCGGCAACATGTTAATTGCATTTTTGTTCATTTCTGTTATTTCCAGGACTGTGTTGGCTGTTCCTTCTCTATCATGGGATGATTTTTTAAGTTCTTACACTTCTTTATCTATAATATCAATCCTTCCATCCACTTTTGCTTTTCCTTTCATGATTGTGCAAATTACAGTCTAGAGACTAAATTGCCCTTAATCCAGGCAATTACTTGCTATGCTTCAGAGAGCTGGACAGTGACTAAGTATGACAGAAGAAAAGAATCATTGCTTTTGAATTTTGGTGCTGGAGAAGAGTCTTGAACAGACCATGGCCTGCCAAGAAAACAAATGGGTCTCAGAGAGGGTGAAACCAAGTTTCTCCTTAGAGGCTAGGATTTTGAATCTCCATCTCACAGTGGACCAGGAAGATACCAGTCCTTGGAGAAGGACATCATGTTTGAAAAGTGGAGGGACAGCACAGGAGAGGAAGCCCCTGGATGAAATGGATTAATACAGTGACTGGGGCAATGAAGGCTAGAGTATCACAATCAATGAGACTGGCTTAGGACAGGGCAGGGTTCAGAGCTGCTGCACATAGTGTCGCTATGGGTCACAGGCATCTCAGTGTCACATAACAACAGCAGCAACAATATATTTCTTCTTGTTCCCTGTCTCTAGATTATTTGCTTTCTTAATGGCTTCTGTTGTTTCTTCCATCACTTGTACTTCTTCTGTAGCTTTTCAAGGAACTTCTTATCAATATAGTTCTTCTGGTTCCCTACCTCTAGGGTATTCCCTTTATTTGCAGCTTCCATTGTTTCTTGGATCATTTGTACTTTCATCTGTAGCTGTTTGAATGCCTCCATTTGAACATAGATAGATATTCTATGCCTTCCTGATTCTGTTGTGTTCATTGCCTCTGTAATATTGTCTGCTTTTTTATGGAGAAGGCTTAATTTGTCTTTTCACAATGTGAAAAGCCTGCTGCTTTCTTGACATTATGTAAAGTTTTTATTGATAATGTTAGGCCATTTCTATTGTGCCTGCCTAAGGTTGTTGATAGATCTTATTTTTGTGATGTTATTGATTAGTTGCCAGCTTAAAATATTCAGTCTATGGGATGAGCTACTCACTCTACTGAAAGTCCTTTCTGGGAAAATTTGCCTTTCCTGAAGTCCTTCAGGGTCTCTCTGCTTTGTAATTCAACCTTGCAGAATTCTTGTTCTACTTGAGCAGTTTCTGTCCAAGAGAGTTTCAAGTGAGCTCTCTTTCTCATAGCTCAGGGTGCCAGCTGAGAAGGTCTTTCCCCAGTGTGTAGCTCTCTGTCCCAAACTCTCTTCTTTTTGGTACCTGGGATGGCCCACAACAGTGGAGACAGGGATCCCCCAGTGGAGAGACCTTTCCTTAGAGGAGTTTTATGTTGTAGTCTTTGATCTTCTACAGCAAGAGCTTCAGGTCCTCCTTACTTTGGGCAAACAAGATTGTTTCCTCTGTATAACACAGATTGTTGATGATTCTTCCTACAAACCAGATGCCATATTCTTCTTAATAAAGTACAACTTTTCATATTATTTTCTCACCATACATATTGAATAATTATGGTGAAGAATGCAGTCCTGACACACACCTTCTTTTCTTTTAAACCATGAAGTGTTCCTTTGCTTCTGTTTGGATGATGCCTCTAGGTCTAAATATAGTTTTTGTTTGAGTGTAATTAAGTGCTCTGTGATTCCAATTCTCCTCAATGTTAGCCATAATTTGTTATGATCCACAGACTCAAATGCCTTTGCACAGTCAATAGAACTCACATATACTTTCTTCTGGTATTCTCTACTTTCTTCCACGATCAATCTTACATCAGTAATGATATCATTGGTACCATCACTTTTCCAATTCTTATAGTTGTTGTTTTTGTTATGGACTGTCAAGTTGACTATGACTCAGAGTGACCCTGTGAACAATGGCTCTGAACCCTGCCCTGACATAGAGCCAACCTCACCATCCTGATGCACTTTTTACCCCATTGTCACTGTATCAATCCATCTCATCCAGGGTCTTCCTCTCTTGTATTTACCATTCACTTTTCCAAACATGATGTCCTTCTCCAAGTTCCTTTATATACCCCTGTTATAATAACTCATTTTCATAGCTATTATATCTATATATACACCTCATAACTACTCTGCCTACAAAATTTGCAAGATTGTAAATTACTTGAGGAACTATCTGTATCCATAATAATTGGTACACTAAATATATTTAAAAATAAAGAACAATATTTCAACAGGCTAAAGATGAAAAGCAAGCAAGCAAATATGAAACTAGTTCCCCAGAGTAGCCGCTGCAAATTCAAGTCATTCTTGGAATGGTCAGTTCACTTCCAAGAAATTACAAAATTCACTGTAAGAATGTAAAAGGCATGTGAGAAAGACAGGAGAAAGAAATTTAATCAGGAGGAGCTCTCCTTAGAATTTCCATCAGATATCTGCTTGCTAGCACAGGAATTCATTTACCGTATCACACATAAGAAAAATGGTGTTCACCAACATAGTATTTGGGCTACAATTCTGAATTGAATCCAGTCTTTAGCTTCAGTATATACCCAGGAGCTCAAAATGTAAAAGGAGCAGGATGACAGATCTAGGAGAGATCTGCCCCATGCACTCCAGTATTGGTGAGGAATCAGCAGACACAAGGGCTCTGGTGAGTATGAGCCTCTGTTTTCCAAGTCTGTTTGCCATATCCTCTGGATTTCACTTTTAGCACTAGTATTGTAAAAGAAGAAAAGAAAATTATTAACAAGTCAAGTTAAGTTAAGTTAAGTTAAGTTAAGGTTTATTAAGGCAAAAAACTTTTGAACAGAAAGTACCAAAGCAGAAAGTTGCTGCTGCTTAAGCAACACAGACAGGGACTTTTAAAGGCAGTTAAGAGATTTCCAGAAAGGAATTTAAAAATTTACAAAACCAAGATTTTTTTCCCCCTGTCATTAGTTTTGTAAGTATATTTGAGGGGTTGTTTTTTTGGGGGGTGGGGGGGAATTAATGGAGTCTGGGAGTCAGGAATATTTTTAACTGTCAGATTGTTGTTTTCAAAGCATTTTGGCAATTAGAACAATTTAACAGTTCTCTATTGTCCTGTCAAGATTTGTAGCTGGCACAAATAGCTATTTTCATTTATTCTTCAAAAGGTCCTTTTAACTGGATAAATTGTGTATACTGCACTAAAACAGATGAGGGACTGAATAATTTAAAAGCGATGTATGATAGGGTATTATGGTCATCACAAGAGTCCACAATTAAGGTTGCATAGTGGAATGTACTTGGGGCGGTTGGTGGGAGGGGTGCAGGGGGATTGCGTGCAGGGAGGGAGTCTTTTACTTTTGAAAGAGAGGAGCAAACTGGGGGGTGGGGGGAGAGGGCTGGGCGGGGAGAGAAGTGCAGCAATGAATGAATGGAAATCCAAATTCTCTGTAAATGTTCATGAAAATTATTTTAAAAAAGATATTATTAAAACATTTAAATTTTTTTTAAAAAAGGTCCTTTTAGTTGGCACAAAGAACTATTAATTTTTAGTTAATACTTAACACCGACCTTAGCCGCTTCTCTTTCTGGGAACTTACCATGAATATGTAGTGACTGAAATTCTTAAGTGGTGCCATCTATGTGATCAGATTTCTACATTTGGTACATATTTTATTTCTTAAAAATAGGCCCTGGTGTGAAAAAACTATGCATATGAATATTATAAGTAAACCAATATAGGATTAAAAATAAAAAGAAAAAAATTAAGTCATTTTTGGTTTTTTAACAGATGGATGAATTGCATGTATCTATGATCCAGTGGATGGTGAAGTTGCTGATTTTAATGGTACCTGATTGTAGTGATCGCGACACTCTTCCAGTAGCTGAGGGTGAAAATGCTGAGACCCGTGTGACAGGAATTGCAGAGTTAGAGTTAGATGCAATTGAACTGGTCAAAAAATTGGCCCAATTCTCTTTCTACTTGACCAGGTGAAACTATCTGATAATTTTATTGCTTCCCATTTCATGATTAAATGTAACTTAAAGCAGAAAAGAGAAAAGCAGTGAAGTAGCCGCAACACGAGATTGGTGAATAAACCTTGGAATTAATACTAGTCCAATTATTTTTATTTATTTTAATGAACATTTACAGAGATTTTGGATTTCCATTCATGCATTGTTGCATTCTTCTTCCTGCCCACCCCTCTACCCCTCAGTTCGCTCTTCTATTTGAAGAGTAAAAGAAAAATCCCTTCATTGGTATACAGTCCCCACCCTATAGCCCTGAGTACACTCCACTATGCAACCTTCATTCTGGACTCTTGTCATAACCATATTACCCAATCATATATCGCTTTTAAACTGTTCTAATTTTTGTGCAACAATGAATGAGTGGAAACCCAAAATCTCTGTAAATGTTCATTAAAATTAGTAAAATTTAATTAAAAAAAGAAAAAAAACTCTTCTAATTTTTAAAGTAGACTCAACACAGTGCCCATTTGGAATATGAAATGGTGACATTAGATTACTTGAAAAATAACCTTAGCCTAGGTAAGTATCAGTGTGTGCTCAGTGGTAAGATTTGATAAATAAGACCCATCTACTTGCATGGCACCCTAATGTAAGAAGTTGCACTGCAATCCCATGGGCACATGGTTCGGATCCACCAGTTGGTGCACAGGAGAGTGATAGATAGTCTCTTTCCATGTCATTTACTGCTTCTTCTGGAAGGGTCAGCTATGAGTCAGTTCCATCTCAATGGCACCCAGCAGCAACTTGCATAAATAATTTGCAGCTTTTTTCCCTTCTGCATATGATGTTTTTGGGAAGGAGGAATGAAAGGGAAGGGGGAAGAGTTTATGAAGAAATTTATATTTTCTTGTATGATTTTATATAAAATTGAATGTATAGTGTTTTGATTTACCTTGTTATTATTACTAAATTCAGCCAAAATGTCTCTTTAAAAGTACAAGATCGAAATTTTATGCATGCAAGAAAATTTTCACCAAATAAAAATAGAGTTTTAAAAATTGTAATTTATTTAATATGAAAGGAATTACCACTATATTATTTTATTTCAAAAATTAGCTTTTATCCCAAGGAGAATCTAGCCAAATTTCCCCTTCACTTCCAGTCAGTGTTGTCAGTGGGCAAGAGTGAGAGGAATTGGGGGAGGGGGATGAAGAGAACATAGGTAAGGAATTAGGAAAGAGACAGATTATTCTCCTTAATGAATCAGTAGCTGAACTAGTATGTTAAACTTCTACAGAATCGAATTTTTAAACAGGAGAGGAATCAACAGCAAGTAGATTATTCTGTGTATCCTTTTCTTCTTAGTTGTTGCAAAGGAATGATTACAGAAACTACAATAACTCTAAGTAAGTCAGCGCGTTTACAAATAGAGCCTGCAAAAGAACAGCATGAGCTCAAGAATATGAAGGTAATAATTCTGTATTCCTTAAAGTTGTTACTTATTATTTTTATTGTTCTTTATAACACACTGACATACCTGAAGTGTATAATTTTGTAAGTTTTAAATATATGCATACAACCATACACTGATCACTACACTCAAGATGTTGGGCACATTCAGTTCCCAAAGTTTCCATGTAAACTTTGATAATCCATCTTTCCAGTCACCTTTTGTCCTCAGGCAGTACACTCAATCAGCAGAGTCTAGTTTTCTATAATTTTAATAAACAGGCTCATTTGATATCTACTCTTTTTGTCTTGACTTCTTTCACTGAACTTCTGTTTTGAGATTTATAGATCTTGTTGCTTAAATCACAAGCCCATGATTTTTAATGATGATTGGCATTTCACAAATGGAACAAAGCTTGAATTTTTTTCAAGATTTCATTTTACTTGGATCATTTATTCCCACAGTAGCTATTGTTGTTATATGCCATCAAGTTTAAACCAACTCTTAGCTGACTGTCTCTTCCTCCCCTCCCCTGGTTAGGTTTTCAGAGGCTATAAATCACACAAAAGGAAAATCTCTATCTTCCTCCTACAAAGTAACCAGTCGATTCTAACTGCCTACCCTTGGATGGCCAATACAACTTAGACCACTAGACCTAGCAGTAATCAAAATATTTTGCTGTCAAGGACTTCTCTAAAATACTAAAAGGCAATTATGTCAGTTGAAAGACTAAGATGAGCCTGCTTTAAGACACGGTCTTTTCAGTTGCTTTCTATGCGTCTGAAAGTTGGACAGTGAATAAAGAAGACTAGAGAAGAATCTGTACCTTTGAATTGTGGTATTGGAGAAGAGTACTTCTCCAATATGTTAAAAGAACAACAAATCTTATCATGGAGAGCATACAGCTAGAGTATTCTTTAGAGGCAAGAGTAGTGCTCTCTTTGGCAGCACATATACTAAAATTAGAGACAAGAGTAGTGAAGCTTAGTATATTGTGCTTCAGCATGTTGTCAGAAGGGGCCAATTCTTAGATAAAGGCACTGGAAAAGGTAGAGTGTTAGAAAAACAGAGGAAGGAAGAACTTCAGCAGGATGGACTGACTGACACCATGACTGTACGATGGGCTCGACCATAGCAGAGACAGTGAGGATGGTGAAGGGTAGGGCATGGCTGCAATCAGTAGTCAATGTTGCTATGAATCCTTGTTGGCTCTAAAGCACACAACAACACCACTTATTTCATTGAATGGTTATGTATAATTTGTTATTTGTTGACTGATGTTTCATTGTTTCTAGATTATTATTCACTAAAGTATCAATGAATATATACAAATCATTGAAAGGATATATAAATTCATTACTCTTGGGTACATATTTTTTATCAATAACTGAATTGTATGGTACAAGCATGTTTAATTTTTAAAGAAACTAGTAGTGTGCCATTGTGAATTAATTAATATTTTATTAATGACAAATAATGTTGAATATCTTTTCATGTACTTATTATCTCTATATGTTGTTATGTGCTGTCAAGTCGTTTCCAACTCATAGCGACCCTATGCACAACAACCCTAAACCCTGCTCTATCCTGCGCCAACCACACCGCCTCTGACACACCCATCCCGATTACCCCAGTCACCTAATCAATTCATCTCATAGAGGGTCTTGCCCTCTTGCGCTGTCCCTCCACCCTCCCAAGCATGATGTCCCTCTCCAAGGACCCGTCCCTCCTGGCAACATGTCCAAAGTATGTCAGACGAAGCCCCAGAATCCTTGCCTCCAAGGAGTAGCTTGGTTTAATCCTCTCCAGGATGAATCTGTTTGTTTTCCTGGCAGTCCATGGTACATTCAGTACTCTTCTCCAGCACCACAGCTCAAAAGCATCCACTCTCCTTCTGTCCTCCCTAGTCATTGTCCAACTCTCTGATGCATAACAAGCGATTGCAAAGACCATGACCTGTATCAGGCGCACCTTAGTCTCCAGAGAAACACTGTTGCTCCTGAGTACCTTAGAGAGGTCCCTAACAGCAGACTTTCCCATCGCGATACACTTTTTGATTTCCTGACTGCTGGTGCCAAGAGTGTTGACTGTGGAGCTGAGCAAACTGAAGCTGTGAACACTCTCAATCTCTTCATCATCCATCCTGACGCTGCCAATTGGTCCAGTGGCGAGAATTTTTGTCTTCTTGACATTGAGCCTTAGTCCATACTGAAGGCTGCAGTTTTTGACCCTTCGCAGCAAGTGCATGAGGTCCTCCTCAGTTTCAGCAAGCAGGGTTGTAGTCTTTCTCTTTTTTTAGCAAAACAAGTGAAAAAAATTTATTAAGGCAATAAGGCAGAGGCATAGTTAATGAAAGGTAGACTATGCAAATGAGTTAAAGTGAAAAAGAATGGAGAAAAGGGATAAAGGATCTGTGGAAAAGGCAGGTGTGAAACAAACTGCACATGATACTATCAGCAGAAAAGGAAATGGAAAGAGCCATATATGCTTTTAAAAATTAAAAAAAACCTAAGATTTAAAACATATTTTTGTGAGAGACGTAATTCACCCCATAATAATGCCCATAGTCTCACAACTGATATTTTACCATCCACTATTTTGTTCTGTTTTTTGTTTTTCTGCTTTTGGTCCACTACAACAGGCTCAATATATATTATCATCCTTCATTTCTTAAACCGTCTTTCACCCCATAAATGAATTTTAAACCTTTTGCTTCATACTGGTCATTTATTTACACATGGTGAGAGAAATAATTCAGTCTCAAAAGAATAGATATTATATGAGCCCACAATACTGAAAGGCTAAAAAGGTTTATACATAGGAACACTCATTCTTGGATGGCTACCAGTGATGAGAAGGGAGGGACAGGAGAGTAAAATCCGTACATAGATAACATGGGTGAAGAGAAAAGCAATATATAAGGGGATTAAAAAATTTATTTTCCCCACGTGCGCCCCAGTCCTTTCTACCTATACCATACTGGTATGAAAACTATGAGTCCCACCAGTCCACGGATCAATGCCCTCTTTAAATTTTGGATTTTGGTGGGAGGCCTGCAAGGACAGAGGAGGGCTGGGCCAAGTATCTTCCCACATGCACCCCAGTCCTTTCTACCTATACCACACAGGTATGGAAACTACGAGTCCCAGCAGTCTGCGGGTCAATGCCTTCTTTAAATTTTAGGCCCTTGGGCCAGGAAAACAAAAATATATACCAAAAATATAGGATTTATCAACCTCCGCTGAAAAACTCATGTACCATTGAGGATTAAGTTACTTTAGAGAACAAACTACTGTCTGGCCTGACCATGTTGGTCCCTCTAACTCAAACAACAGGTAGATCCTGGGCATTGCCACAGAGGTGAGAAGCCATTTCCAGAAGGAAACAACAGGCTTCCTCCTTCATTATTCACGTCCCCCCATACCCCTTCCTATGTGTATCAGTGACTGTTTCTCCCCTCCCCACTCACGTGAGCATCTGAGTGTGCATGCACCCTACATGCGTCTGCTCATGTTACTGCCCAACCTTCTCCTGAGGCAGTGATATAAAATAAAAAACCAGGTATCCCTTCAGAAATGGAAAAGCTCTACCACATCAATGTCCCCAAAGAAGCATGGTACCTCACTTGCCATGCAAGCCCAAAGCACAACATTACCCCCCCCAAAATGACACATTAGCAATGGATTTCATGAAGCCAGAAAGTGTGATGGAACTTTCTGATACAGAGGTTAAAAAAAAAAAAAAGATTGAATATTTTCAATGGATGAAAACAAACTTGATGAATTACAGGACACTGCAAACAAAAAAATCAGGAGAAGATTTAAAAAAAAAAATCAATTCAAAACAATGCAGATAAAACAAACAAGGCATTAGAGGCACTAGAAAACCAAGAAACCATGATTGAAATTAGGTCCACTGTTTCAGATGCTGTCAACATGATGGAGGGACACACAAACAGAGTTGAAGAGATGGAACACAGAATCAGTGAAACAGAAGATAGAATTGGCACCACAGATCTGATTGAGCAAAAAGCAGAATCAAAAAAGGAGGAAACAGAAGAAAACCTAAGAATAATCTGGATACCAACAAAAGAAATAACATTCGCATCGTAGGAATCCCAGAACAGGAAGAAGCACGTAAATGCACCGAAAAAGTTTTAGAAGAATTACTAGAGGAAAACTTTCTAGGCATAATGAAGAATGAGAGAATATATATTCAAGAAGCTGAGCTAACACCATGTAAACCAGACCCCAAAAGAAAAACACCAAGGCATATCATTGTCAAATTTTCCAGAACCAAAGATAAGAATTCTGAAAGCAATGAAAGAGAAACAAAGAGTAACTTATAAGGGAGAGCAGATAAGATTAAGTGCCGATTTCTCAGCAAAAACCATGCGAGCAAGAAGACAATGGAATGGCATATATCAAACACTCAACACAACTGTCAACCAAGAATACTGTGCCCAGCATAATTGTCCATCAAATATGAAGGAGAGATCAAGATATTCCAGAAATACAGAACCTAAGGGAATTTGTAAAAACAAGACCAGCCTTACAGGAAACACTGAGAGATGTCCTTCATACAAAGATGCCACAGAAAACAGAATGGACTAAAGTAACTAACAACAAAGCCAAAAAGAATTGAGCAAAATGATAACAATAAAACTTTAATAAACCTCTCAATAATCACACTGACTGTGGATGGTTTAAATGCACCACTGAAGATAAAAAGAGTAGCAGATTGGATAAAAAGACCAAAATCCATCAATATGTTGTCTATAAGAGACACATCTGAAAAATGAAGATAAAGACTAAAAATAAAAGATCAGAAAAAAATATACCAAGCAAATGGCAACCAAAAAAAAAAAACAAAAAACAGCAGGAGTAGCAATACTAATCTCCGATACAATAAATTTTAATGCAAAAATCATCACAAAGGACAAAAAAGGTCACTACATAATGCTCAAAGGGTCAATTTAACAAGAGGACATAACAATATTGAATAGCTATGCACCAAAT